ATAGTCCTGCCTTTCTCCTTAAAAAGGAGCCAAGGAGGTTTACGTAATTAAAAAACAAACAAGCAATCCTTAAAGTTAAAAACAGTAAGTATACACATACTAAAAAGGATCAAACAAATGCCACACTAAAATATGGTAAACAGGAGCAATCCCCCAAAACACAATGAAAGCAGTTAAGGAACAGCCATCCCTTTAAAAGCCCACTCAGGTAACCAGTCCTCAAGGGAAAGCTTGGCTGAAGAGTAAGGCCTTTGCCTGCTTGCGGAAGGAGAGCAAGGATGGGGCCAGGCCGGCTTCCTGTGGCAGGGAGTTCCAGAGGCTGGGAGCAGCCACAGAGAAGGCCCTCTCTTGTGGCCTCACCAAATACGATTGTGAAGGTGGTGGGACCAAGAGAAAGGCCTCCCCTGACGATCTCAGTACCCAGACAGGCTCATAAGAGGAGATGCAGTCCTTGAGATCGCTTGGACCCAATCCATTTACAGCTTTATAGCTTAAAACCGGCACTTTGAATTCTGCCCAGAAACAGATCGGCAGCCAGCAGAGCTGCTGTAACAGGAGACTTGTGTGACCCTTGTAACCAGCCCCAGTTGGCCATCTGGCACACGCAGGGAAAGTACAAGAGAGGTTTGTTTCAAATATACACCTCTACTGTATAAAGCCCTCTGCTTGGACACCTGTTTAGCATTTCAACTGTCTTTATTTTTGCGTCAAACTGGCAATCGGCCTGAGTATTTGGCACCTAGTGCGAAAATGCGTCAGCTTCTCGGTTGTCCATTTTGCTGGTTTCTGTTTAAATTATTGAATTTTTAAAAAGTGCTTTAAATGGCTCTAAAACATTTGAACTGTTTTAGATTCTTTGGCGATCGTTTAATTGGTTTTAGGCCATCCTGAGATCCATGAATATAACTCATGTTAGATACATAAACACATGTAATAAAATAAAATAAAATAATTCATTTGTTGCATTAATAAATTAAATTAAATTACCATATTTTTCTGTGTATCAGACTATACTTTTGTCTAAAATCTTTAGACTCAAAATTGAGGGTCTTCTTATACATGGAAGTAAGCTGCAGAGAGAACAAAAACAAATGGAGGGGAAAGCAGGGATCGAAGCTATCGTGCAGTGCTTTGATCCTTTTCCTCCCACCCTTGCTAAGCCCCACTTAGATTTCTTAATTTTGGATTAGAAAAGTGGAGGGGGGGTCTTATACATGGGGGCGTCTTATACGTGGAAAAATATGGTACATTCAACAGTGGGAGCTGTCCTCTATGGCCAATGCATTATGTCAAGGATTACATATGTTACATAATACCCCAAGGCTGAGGATCTTGCTTAAAAGCATCAAGTTTTCAGAAAACATAACCTGCAGGGCAAGCCAACCCTAGTGGAACCTCTTTTTCTGCAAAATTATTCACGACACAGGAGCCCTGTCCTCTGTTTCATGCAGCCACCTTCTGTGTCATGTCATCAGATTTGTCCACCTCGATAAATATTGCCTCTGCCGCTGCCAGCAGGTTGCAGGATCTTCTTGGGCACCTGTTTTTTCTTTTCTTTTCTTTTCCCCATGTTGCCAGATACCTGGAGCCTCCAGGTATAATAATTTGTTTATTATTTGTTTGTTTTATTTATAGGCCACCTTTCTCCCAAGAAGGGGACCCAAGGTGGCTATAAGGGGATGTGAACGTTTGTAAAGTACTCTCCTGTTGATATCTAGCCTCTTTACTGACAGGACCTTGAAAATGTAAAAAGGAGGCTTTCCATGGTAGGAGGGGATAAGCAGAAGAGGATACGTAAGAAGCATCTTTCTCTCCCCATCTCTCTGCCTGCAGTCCAATCTGCTTTTTCTCACAGCAGTATCTGTGGGAGAACCAGCAGCCGATATCTGAAAAAGCTTGCAGGGGGCAGGGATTCATCCGACTATTTCTCTCCCAATATCCGCAGCCAGCCTAGGTTGCACTGGGCATGCTGGGAGGGGGTCTTAAGAGCTGCAGTCCAAAAATGTAACTTTTCCAAGCTCTACTTTCCAAAGCCTTAGCCTGCCAAAGGGGCCAACCCATTCCACTGCTGATCAAGTCTTACGGTCAGAGATTTCTTCCTGCAGAGTAAAGCTGGATGCCACCTCTCCTTCTTGTGCTGGCAAATTCCACAGCTCATGCAGTGCGAAGAAGCCGTTGGTAAAATCTGCCCACAAACACACACACACACACCAGGCAGCTTCACTGAATGACCCCCAGAAATCTAGCACATCACGCGTTATTTGACGCACCTTTGCCGTCTGCTCTCTGGCTTGCTTTCAAACCGAGCGGACTTGAAACGTAAGCAAGCCTTGGGAAGCAAACAGAGCCCGGGGGGTCTGGGTGGGTAGCCGGGAACCCACACAACAAGCCTGTGGAGTCCAGAAGCTTGCACCTTGGTTCACAACTCTAGTCACTTCTTGCATCAAGCCGGTGAGCTGGCCTGGCCGAAATGAATAGGTGTCTCGGATGATTCACAGTTTAGGGCCTGAAACCCATGAATCATCCTATATAGAGCCTGGGGTATCTGAAATGCTCAAGGAGGTGGTGCCCGTACGTAGTACCCAGACTGAGAAAGAAGACCTTTTTTCCAGTCTGTTGGTCACCCACAGCTGGAAGACGCACGTTCTGAGCAAGGGGTTTCCCGACTTTTAGCCTCTTGGTCGATCCGCCCATTGGTGAAACCATAAAATTTGTGTCGGTTGTCAAAAAGCTTGCCAGGAAGAAAAAGGAAGCCCCCCCCCCAAAGTCCCCGGTTACACTGGCCTTCAGGAACAGTGATTTTTGTCTCCTTCAAAAAAAAAGCCCCAACCCTCCTTTTTTAAAGTTTCCTTTCTCTTTTTCTTTTGCTTTCTTCCTTTCCTTTTCTTTTTTTAACTTTATAAGGAACTGTTTTATCTTCTTCTGCAAGGCCCTTCTGCAGCTGCCTCGCTTTGTCCAGTGGTGTCATGGAAATTTCACCACAGACGTTTCTATGAACAAACAGGAAACCGGTCGGTCGTTGGTGTGGCAAAGTTGCGAGAGAGTCAATAAAAGCAGGTAAATGGCAGCAGAGAAGTTGCAGCAGCGCCAGCAGGAAAGGGAAGCGCTTGGGGGTTTGATCCTGTCCAAATGAACCGCTCACCCTCCCTTTAGCTTCAGGTAAGGAAAAGAAAACCTGGTTTCATTTATTACCCCGTGCAAAGCTTCGGGGCCCTTCTTCTGGTGGTTTCCTCCCTGTTACTGGTCATTTTGGCGATAGCTACTATCTTCCTTTTGTGTATCAGATTCTTGATGGAACCTCCATGTGCAGGCAATAGTATACTTGTGAATCTCGACTCTAAATTCTGGGAGATCCAAAGAAGAAGCTGCTTTGGGCCCGTTATTGGGAGAATGGAACAACACAAATAACAGTAATTCATTAGTGAAGTAACTATTCCAGCTTCTAGAGTCTGGAATATTCCTCGACCCCATTTCCCATAAATCCTCAGCCATCACGGCCAAGGGACATACAACGTTCTGGAGGCACATATGAAAACCTAAACAATACCACTTTGGGGCTCTACTTCCAAAATTATTTGGCAGGATGATATAGGGATATTGAGTCTCGTTTGTTGTACACTATATTTAAAGCATTTATTTAAGTAGGTTTATGCTGCCTTTTAGAGCAAAGCTCTCCAAAAGTGGTTTTACAAAGAAACAGCCATAAAGGTACATAGTTTATGGTGCAGTCCCATAAAACTGCAGGTGCCTTCCAATAAAAACAGGTAAAGAAAGGTTTGAAAGATATCCTTTGAAACTAGATTCAATCCCTGGCTATTTAAGATAGAAAACATTTGAGAATCAGCCACTTTAGACATGATTGCAAAATGCTAAATAAGGGTGAGATTTGGTCTGATTCAGCAAGTCAGCGCTTATGTTTTTAAATGTAACCAATGTGAAATCACTCCATCTCTGTTGTCGGAGAGGTTTTGTCTGCTCAGTGTGCACATACTAGGTCCTTGTTAAAGGCACAAGAGCAGAGCCAATTTAAAAAGTTGGCAACTGAGTGATTGGGTTGGAATTTACATGATGATTGTAGAGGATTCCTTGGGAAATTAATAAAGGGTGACATCTACCTATGGAGGCCTGGTATTACGGCTTGGCGGCCAGCAGTTAATGTTGAGAGAAGTCAGTTTTTCTGGACTTTACTGCTCCGAGTCTGCTTTGATCTTATGTGCCACAGTCGTTTCTGGTCTCCCATGTGCCTTTGCTTGAAGTTTGTTTTTACTATTCTTCTTTAAGCGCTTTCCCCCCTGAAGTATGCCACTGAAGAAATTACACATGGAAAGTTTGATAAGCACATGTCACCATGTTGCATCCTTTACATGGGGTCAGTTTGGACTACGGACGGGAGGGGGGGAACTAAACTCTGATTTTACAAAGCTCTGTCATGTCACGAAGGAAGCCACAAGAGAGGTTTGTAAAATTAGATACGGCGGGAAAAGAGAGGAGACGGAGGGGTTTCCCTCTCCTCCCACATAAAACTCCTAGAAGGTAGGGTGGGCCAAAGGAATGGATGAGTTTCAAAACACAAAAGGAAAATTGGTTTCTGTGCATTGGTCCTCTGTTTCTGGCCCCCGTTCAAAGTCCTGGCGGTTACCATTAAAGCTCTGAATGATTCAGGACCAGAAAACAGGAAGGAAAGGTTGTGAGGTGCTTGCTGGGGGCCCCCGTTGCCCTTTGTCCTGTCCATTTCGGAGGTGGAATCGCTGAGAAGAAGGGAATCGGAGTGCGTCCCATGATACTGCTGGCTCCAAATGTCCCTCTTACAGAACCGGTCCTAACATTAGACAGAGTGAGGCAGCCACCTTGAGTGGCCAGTGATGGGTATGATGAAAGGATAGCAAACTGTATTCTTGTATTCATTTTTAGCACCAAAGAAGTGGAAAGACTGGTATGGAATCTCTTTTCTGTCACAAGCACAAAAATGATCTGACCCCCTTTGGCTGCAATCGATTGTGACTTGTGGGTGGGGTAGAATCTTCGGGCCCAGCCCCTGTCAAAGAGGCGCAGTGGGGGATTGAACCCCCAGCCTCCAGATCCCTAAACCACTAAGCTAATCAGGATAGTGTGCCATGTGCTGCATTGCCAGCAGAATCTTTGGAGTATACGCTGCCTGCTTCATGGCGTTCATTGGGCCTCTTTTTGCTTATGGCATTCCTCGCAAGGCAGGAATCCTGCTTATTTCAACGGGAAGGGCCGGCCCTACCGTTAGGGCAGAACAAAATGGCAGACTCAGCCTTGCTTCACAGAGACTGGGAAAATAATGGCCCTGAAGTGCTGGAGGGTAAGAACAAGCAAGCCGCCTGGCCTCGCTCCACCCTCTATGGTAGTTGTTGGCCCGCACGTCCAGGAGAGGACACGATCCTATTACCAGTGTTGAAAAACATGCAGCTGACACTTTCTTTGTTTGCCTGTTCGTTTAAAGTCTGCCTTTCTCCCCATAAGGGGACCGAAGGCAGTTCACAGTATTAAAAAAAGAACAGAATTGGAACCCTAGTAAAATATACAATAAAAACAATTAACTAGAATACTGATTAAAATACAATTGAGTAAATACAACAGGTAAAACATTAAAACCTATCTGAACTTTTTAAAATAAAAAAAAAAGGCATTCAGCACTCAGTCGTGATTGTTGAAAGCCTGCCTAAAAAAGGTGGGGCATCGGCGGTCAGTGAAAGGATAAAAGGAAGGAGGCCGACGTGATCTCCGGAGGGAGAGCATCCCATAACTTGGGAGCTGCCACAGAGGAGGTCCTGTCTGGTGTCCCCAACAATCTTGCCTGCACTGGCAATTATCTGATTATCTTAAGCACCAGAAGGCTCATGTGGGGAGATACGGTCTTTTTAGGTAGCCTCCAACCAAGCCAAAGAAGGCTTTATATGGTTAGAAAGAACGAGCACTCGTGAGCTTCCATGCAAGGAAGTCTAGAGAGCCATCTTGTCTTCAGGCGTCCACGTGTCTTAGGCCATCCTTGTTAGATCTGACCATTTGACTTTGAAGTGGCGAGGGTAGGTCACTTGAGAAGGATGGATCAACTACCTAGTTATGTGGAAAAGGGAATTTTTGACAGGTGGAACTTACCTGATAAACAATACTTCCTGAAATCCTCTTTGCCCTACAACCAGTGGTGGGATTCAGCAGGTTTGCACTAGTTCTACAGAACTGGTAGCTAATGTATTATTGATTCTGCAGAACCATTTGTTGGCCTGCTGAATCCTTACCACTGCCTACAACGGTTGGATCAAAATGTTAAGGTGGCCACTCAACCTACCAGCTGTTCCCTGTAGCTTGAATATAACAACAGATTGATCTGCGATTTGTTTTAGCATCGCGGTAATTTTCCATATATTACTTTTTGCATCGTGGAGCATTACATATGAACTACTTGGAGAGCCCTTGTACGGAGGCAGGAAGTTGTGAGCATGATTATTTGCACTAAGTCGTTTATAAATGCAGCTGAAAAATATTGTCGATTTTGGTTCGACGAGGGGTCCTGAATGGTTGTTTCCAGAACTTTTTTTTTAAAAAAGAGATTAGGCAGGTTCGTAGAGAATAAGAGAATCCGTGGACCTCAGTCTGGAGAGGGTGTCTGTCACCAAACATTAGCTCCAGGTAGAGTGATGCTTTAATATCCCACTTCAGTTCAGGAACCAATTTAACCTTAACAGACCCTAGTTTGATCTGTGGCAATCTGGATCCATCAATGATTTGTGCCATGGGAGTCAAATTAATTCGTTAAATCAGTTGGCCATGTCTCCCACTGACTTGTATCGGAAAACCAAAACGGCTGTAATCTTTTGGTGAAATTTGGAAACTTGACAGACTATCAAGAGGAGAATCAATGTGCCAAATTTCACAGAGCTAGCTTACAGTACTGGTGTACTCTGAGGACTGTAAATTTTGGTTCTCAACAAGCATTCTGTCTGGAATGAAATTCCAGCCTCAGATTTCACGTTTATGGCTGCCCCTGAGCCCAATCTGGTTCCCATTCCCTTCTGACAGTTCATTCACATCATTCCTTCCCACAGCCCGACTTTCTTCCCTCATTTAAGGTGTTTGAATCATTGAAATCAGTGTGTATGGCTCTTTCAGAACTCCTTAAAAAAGAGAGAGAAATTTTTAAAGTGACAATCATATTATAATGTTGCAATAGTTATGATTTCTTTGAGTCTCCTGAGCACATGGCCTGGGGGTGGGGCCTGGGGGTGGGACTTTCTGCTTTAAAAGAGCGTGTCCCAGGACCCTGGACCCTTTTCCCTAGGAAATTCTATCTCTGGCCTTAATATGGTAAATAGGAAAGCCAATTAGATTTGCAGAAGCCTGGGAGGCAGGAAAGTTTTAAGGCTTAGATCATACTTTCGCATTATTAAAGAGCAGGCCGGGTAGATGGGGCTCGTCAGCCATGGAAGGCAGCCCATCTAGGAGAAGGAAAACTCCGATTTCAAACCTCCACTGCCTTGTGGCTATATCCACTCATGGAAAAGGCTTCGGGAGTTAACCTAGAGGCAAAATCCGGAGCTCAAGTCCCGAAGGCAGCTCGTGTCGTTCTGCCAACTCCTGCGACGTTGCTGGAACCAGTTGTATTGGCTCTTGCCTTTCCATTGGACCATTTCAGCAATGTGGAGAGGGGGGATCTGCTGCTTGGGTAACAGCCTATCCTCCATATTACCTTACCCGGGCTTCATGCTCTGGAGAGGACACTCCTCGATTCAGAGCATGTTACCATAGTCTCT